ATATATATATATATATATATATATATATATACAGTATATATACAGGGCCTAAAACTAACTTTTTGCCACACCTGCCAGTGGCTGGTGACATGAAAAAATTTACCGGACAAAATTTTTTTTTACCGGCCATGAAACTCTTTTAGCAAAAACAGGCAGTTATTACTACTACAATGACTAAATATACTTACAATATTTTTTCATTTGTCCTGCTGGTACATTTTCCCTCAATTTTCCCTATTAATTATAGCCATTCAACATTACAGTATACTTGAAAGCCATTGTTTTTAACATTTAATAGGCCCTGATATATATAACAACTTTTAATTTAAGTGATTTTAAAACAATCTTCACATAAAATATATTATATATGCATAAAGTATACATATTAATCTTTATTCAAGCTATAAAAGTTAATCAGTGACTAGAACAGTCCAAGGATTTCTCTTTTTCTTTTGTTCTTTGATTTACATCAACTGACAGACTTCAGCAGGTTTCACTTTAAAATCAGCAAAGTCTCTTTAAAAACCTGATGCATATGACGTGGATCTGACATCTGATTTTCTCCCAACTCTTTACAGTCATTTAAGACTTTATAACTCATTTAAGACTACATTTACAAGGTAATGCGCCACAACCGCGCATTTTGACATAATTGTGTGTGTTTTCGTCCGTTGAAGCGCTACTGGTGAGCTGTCTGAAGCGGCTCAGGGTATGTGTAGCCTACAGCCGAACACACAGCCTTTCAAACTATACTTCACTACACCGTTTAGGCGGCATAACCCCAGTGTCGCCGCATTCTCGGGTTATGAAGACTAAAGAAGGGGAAAGTTAATCTTCCGAAATGAAGCAGCAAAATCTTCTCAGGTAAAAGTTATTAGAACCGTGTCTAGGGACAACTGGCGACTGACAGTGTTACATATACTTGCCAACGCAGATTTTTACTTGCATTTGGCGCTTGGCCAGTGTTAATTTTAGGCCCTGTATATTAGGGTTGTGACGGTGAGGAAATTTTCCCACCGGTTAATCGACGTGTGACAACACCGGTAATACCGGTATCACCGCGGGGGCGAGGCGATCCCTCTTTTCCTCGCTTTTAAATAGCTTGTAAAAGCGGTGTGCCCATTTTACTTTCACTTTCAAATAGCGGCAATTCGGAGTAAAGCAATTGTTCGTTTTTAGTTCGTTTGAATTTTCCCTCTTTTCCTC